GGCCTGCCCCCAGCAAACCCTCACCCCAGGGCTTGGGAGGGAAGCTGAGGTTTCTCTGTGCCTCTAAGGACTGGGAGCACACAATTCTGCAGCCCCAGAACAACCCACCCCCTCCTACTGGTGGGTGGGCAGGTTTCCCAGCAGCCTCTTAGCTCAGACGTGACAAACAGAGTAGGCACTGACACCAAAGCTCCCAAGCCCAGCGGTTTGAAGACTAAGCTGTATTGACTGAGAATTTAATTGCTCCATAAAGGCTGAGTAAACATGGAGGGTCTATTGATCATGCCTCAGGCAGGCTGTGGAGAGAGGGAAGTTCCCGGATGCACAGGACAGCGCCAGCTAACACAGGGCTCCCCCTGACAGCCATCCTTGGAAGGGTGTCCCTTTCTCAGGGGCCTCAGCCTCTGCCGCTCACACTCTTCGGGCTGGTTAGCAGGTGACAGACAAGAGGGGTGGAGGCACCAGGAGGTTCTGGTTAGGGCAGGAGGCTTTCTCAATGAATGTGTGCAGTCAGTGGGACATGCAGGCCACAGTATCCTTATTTTTTAACGGGGGCACATGAAAAACCCAGTACAGAGAAAAATAAAACCCCAGAAGCTTGTGCACTAACATATTGACAGTGGTTAACTCTATCTGACTGGATTCAATTTTTATTTTCTTTATGTTCCTGTATTTTCCACATATCCAACAACTAGCAAGTGTGTATCTTGTAATCAGAGAAAATAAATGTTATTTAGGATTTAATGAAATGTCTCAAAGAACTTCTCCTATGCTATTCAATAAAAAACTCCTAGCAGCAGCTCTGTGCAAAGAGGTTACGTTTTAGAGTTAGACCTGGGCTCACCTTCCAGCTCCAGACTGATTCTCAGTGGTCCCTCTATCAAGGTACCGAACTTCTCTCCTTCCCAGATTCCCTTATCTGTCAATGGCAGTAGCAGTTTCTCACAGAATTCGGTGAGACAAAATATTGAGCGTGCTCAGTGCAACAACTCTGGCATGTCCAATAAATATTGTGTTGAATAAATGTGAGTCTCTCTTCCATCCTGGAGCAGGACAGGGTGGTTGAGAAGGAAGGACCAAATATTGGGGGTGAGTCAGTTCGTCTGCTGGGGCCCAGAATGCCATCATCCACACTCCTATCCCCTCCTCATCCCCAAGGCTGCGGGTTGTTCTGTTTCCTCCCTAGCACCTCCTCTCTCTGACCTCCACCCCTCCAGCCTCCCGAAATTGCCCTCATAGAAGCCAGTCTTCCTCATCTTGCCTCATTGCCACCCATGGAGACAAATGGGCTAGATGCCGGGAGGCAGCTGGCCAGCACCAGGGTCGTTGTTCCAAATGTCACCAAGAGCCTGAGAGGGAGGCGCCCCCCCCCCCCATAAAAAGTAGGGCTGCAATTACTAGTCTATTCAATTCCCCAGAATAAAGCCTTGCTGTCAGCTAGCAGCAGGAAGGCGCTGGGAAGGGGGATGAAAGAGGCTGGCACGGCCTGCTGCCCCCTGGCTGGCTCTGGGCCCAGTTCTCACCTGAGGGCCTATTACCCTAGTAAGCATAAGCTGTTGCCTAGGGATGTGTGTGCCTAAGCACAATGGAGCCCATGATAACTCTGTGCCAGCCCCATAACTGTTCCATTGTACCCAGGACACAATGCCTACCATTCAGCCTCCCCTTTGTGAGACAGCAGCTGCCGGACTTGCTCTTCCCACTTCTGGAAGCATCACCTCCTGGCAGGCTCCAGGTCCCCAGAGAGATTTCTCCTGAGCCCATCCCCCAAAGGCTGCTCTACAGGTGGCGGGGGAGGCTGTGCTAGCACACACTAACAGGCTGGAGCAACCCCCTCTTTGGAAGGAAGTGAGGATCTATCTGGGGCCCTGGGGCTCTCCCCTGGGCTGAGGGTTTGCCTCAGGCGGCAGCAGCAGCTCCTCTCTACCTGAGGATCAGCTGTGGGTGATAGGCTTACACAGATCAGCTGCCACTGCAGCCCCCAGGGCATGAGCCCAGTGGCTCATGGAAAGGGATTCTTGCTCAGTCCCACAGCTTGGGGTGGGTGCAGGGAGGGGACAGGTACCCCCTCACACTTGTGCTGGCCTTGGTCACCACTGGCATCAGAGTACAGAGGAAGAAGGTGAGGGGGTCTCTGTGGCCAGCTCTGAGGTCACACAAGAAAGGCCCCAATGACACTAGATCTGATGATTGGTTTGGATTCCTTATATTGGTGCCCTCTCTAGAGATCAACTGCCTAATTCCTAGAAATTCTCGAAGGAGCTTGAGGCTGGCTGAGCCGGTGGGAAACCAGACTGACCAGTGGGGAGGAGCCTGGCTTGTCTTGGAGGCTTGTGACCCGCCCACCCTGAGCTCGCCCTCAGCCTGTTCTCTGACCTCTACTTCCTTGTAGAGAAACTCAAGGGGTGGTGGTGGGAGGGGGGGAGCTTGAGCTACACTGGAGGCAGGAAGGATTCAGAGCTGTGAAGGAGTCATGGATAGGGTTGGGAGCAGGGATGTTGGGAGGCTGATGGGAGAAAATTTATCTCAGGATGCAATTCTCCCAAGAATCCAAGAATAGACAGATTGACTGACACATACACTGTTAGAAAACATTGAGGTAGCCTTCTTCCAGAGAAGCCAAGAAACTGTCATCAGAGAGACAGACAGACAGACAGAAACACACTCTAGGAAACTACAAACCAGACAGACAGGACAACTTGGAATACCTGGGAACGGAGACAGACAACAGCTGGACCAACTTGGGTGCAAGCCTCCCTGCCCAACCCCGAGGGGAGGGCTGCCATAGGCAGCACTTACAAGCCCCTCCCTGAACCTTCCACCCACCTCCCTCCCTCCTTAGAGCACCTCCACCCAACCTTGGGGCCTTCCCTTCAATAGTTTCCTACCATCCCACCCCAAATCTTGGAAAAGAACCCGATTCCCTTGGAGCCCAGGTCCCATAGGGGCAGCACCCTTCCCCACCTCCACATACACCGGCCTCTCTCCCACCCCTTCCTACCAGGAGCCAGACTGCAGGGTGGGACCAGCAGAAGAGTGTTAGCACGTGAAAGAGTGGGAGGGGTGAGTGTGAGAGAGAGGAAGGACCAAGGAAAACTCAAGGGAAGATTTCTGTTGCTAGGGCCCCTGGCACTGACTTTGTGAGGGTATGAAGTTACCCATCCTCACCAATGCCTGGTGCTCAGGGAGCAGCAATTGCCTGTCCACCGAAATGAGTTGGACTGAGGGGGTGGGAGGCAGACTACACAGCTTTCCTTTCTTCTCCTTCGCTGCCAGGGAGGACATTTTTTAGGAAGAAAACACAGCCACGTGTCTGAACAGTGACAGCTCATGGAAGCAGCCAGGGCTCCCTATCTCTTTCCTCCCAGACCACCCTCACACCACTCACTCTCTGTCCTTTCTCCTTTCTCTCCACTTTCTCATTCTCCCACATCTCTTCTTCCTTCCAGTTTCCAGGTGAGCCATTTCCCATTTGGAGGCATCGTGATGTCCCGCTAGATGGGGAGCTCCTTGTGTCCCGGCACAGAACATGGCACAGAGACCACCCAGGGCATGGCACAGGGCCTGGTCCTTCCCTTTGCCTTCCGTCCTCTAACGTGGTCGGCTGCAGGGAACACATGCCTCCTGAAGCCCCAGACTGAAGGGTCTGGAGGTGTTACTGTGGCCCTACTGCCATAGTTCCCTCCTCAGAGTCCTGCCTCATGCCCAGCCCCCTCTAACTTCTTTAAGGGAAATGAGTAGTAACACCTTCCAGGGGGTCATTTTCTGTCCTTAGCTGGACAGCCATCATCTCTGATTATCATCTAGTTATTTTCCAAGGAAGAAAGGGAACGATTATGGGATTGTTAAATCTTAAACCTGGAAGTGGCGAGCAGGGAGTCGAACACCGTAAGTGTGCATCTGGGCGTCAATACTTCCTGGCTGTGTGACTGTGGGCCAGTCCCTTGAGTCTCTGAGCTCACTCGCCTCTCAGGTAAGACAGCGGTTATAAATCTGCCTGGTCTTGTTCTCCTAAGCAGGCAAGAAGCTCAGTGAGGTTACATGTAAATGCCATTTTCTAGACAGACCAACACCTTCATTATACTGATGTGGAAACTGAGGCCCAGGGGAGTTAAGTCACTTGCCCAAATTCATTCTGACAACAGGAGACTATACATGGGGGAAATTTTTGTCCCAAATCGAAGGATCATGACTGAGTGAAGTAAAGAACAAGAGAAATGTGCAGAACTGTGAGACAGAAAAATTGGTGGAAAAGAGAAGGAAATGAAGTGGGATAAGGACAGAGACTGACAGCACACACATCAAGATGAGAGGGAGTGGAAACTGATGTGGGTGGAAAAGATGGGAATGGAGGAGCAGCAGGGCAGCCAGATAGATGAATGTGGGAGGAGAAAGATGAAAGCATGATGGAGAGAGAACATTGGGGAAGGAGACAGGAAGAAAGAGTGCGTATGAATAACCCAAAACAAGATGAAGGAGAAAGCCTGGGACAGTGACACCAAATCTTGACTTTTCACTGCTCCCCGTCCTTCCCAAGCTGTCAGCTAACTCATCAAAGGCTGAAAAATCCCTGAAATTAAAGTCAGTCATCTTGTCGTCGTTATGGAAGGAGAAAAATCAGGAAGACAAATGGAAATATTTGATATAAGAGGAAAGATGGGCACTCTCATTGGTTGAGCAACTCCTAGGTGCCAGCATCCTACTGTGCTCTGTAATTACAACCACATTCATTTCCCTTGATGTTTAAAAATGTATTTTACACTGGTCATTTAGAGGGGAGCAGTATAGGAAAGGGCATAATGACCTCAAAAGTTGGGAATGGCTCATCTGGGGTCCAGAGGAAGCAAAGAGAAATGGAAGTATGAGGAAGGAGGTAAAAACAAACAAGTAACAGCACAAGACTCAAGGAAGAGGCCAAATGGTGCAGTGGTGTGTGCTTTGCTCCGAGGGGAAGGACTGTGGGGTGGGGAGGGGAGGACCATCCACCAATGACTTCCCACCTTTGGGAGGCAGGGTCTGCGCAGGAGGGCTTCTGCTCGGCATCGGCGGCTGGGCAGCAGAACTGGTGCAGCACGGTCTCATTCCTGAGGGCAGAGCAGAGGAAGAAGGTCAGAGCTTGGCCTGGACAGGCTGGGCCCAGCAGGGCTCTCTCACCCCAAGGCCTTTCTGCCCTGAAACCTTGCCCCTGTGTCACTGAGGTCGCCAGCACAGCTCCAGGGAAGGAAGTGCAGCACGGATGCTCTGCCATCGAGGCCCAATTCAAATACCACCTCCTGCTTGCAGTGCCCCTGACTTCCTGCCAAGGGAACTTTTCCTACTTCTGCAGCCCCATCCCCTCAGTAGGCTCCTCCAGTTGTATGAGCCATTTGTTTCCTCTGTCTTTTATCATTATCATAGTTCTTTATAACCCTGTTCCCCATTAACGTCTGGCAAGGCAGAACTAGTCTACCCACCTGTGATGCACAGAATTGCATACAGTAAACATTTTAAAGCTGATCATATGCAAAGGTACAAAGCACTCACACAGAGATCTTAGTGTTGCCAGCTGAAAATCCAAGGTATGGTGCTTGATGGATTTGTTTGACACGGATGGAAAAGCAATCCAGGAGCAGAGACCTGGGCTTCAGCGCCAGCTAGCCAGCTGTGTGACACCTAGTTCACCTCTTCTGGGTCTCAGTTTATTCATTGGTGAAATAAGGGAGTTGAACTAGAGAAGTGGTTCTCAACCCTGGCTGCTTATTAGAATCACCAGGGGATTTAAAATCAACCCCTGCATGGGCCCTATCCCCAAGGACTGACTCACTTGGTCTGGCCTGGCTCGGGGTGGGAGGGTGGGGGTAGGAGGGTAGGGGGCGCCAGGACTTGTTATAGATTCCCAGGTAATTCAGCCAGAATTGAGAGCAATTAGACTACCTAATTTCCAAGGTCCCTTCCGCCTCTAAAATGTTGTGATTCTAATATCCACTTTGAGCCAACTTGGGATTTAATATTGAAATTACTTTTTCATAAGTAATGCTGTGCATTGCCTTCTCTCTCTTAGCAAGCAGTCGCTGTACTGGGCATTATGGAGTCAGAGAATGTCAGATCTGGAAGGGCCCCCAAAGATCACCTGAAAGGGATTTTGAAACTTCTTTAGCTTCAGGACACGTTGTCCAAACCCATTCTGTACTGGAAGCTGCTAAATCTGGCTATCCTCAAGGAAGAAAATAATGTTGAAGCCTACCTTAGACAAAAATAAATTCCAGAGAGACTGCATGTTTAAATGAGAAAATAAAACAAGGGGAAATAAAGAAGGAACCTTAGGAATATAGCCTATGTGTTAAGGAGGCTTAAAACAAAACAGAAACTGAAAAGCCAGTCAGAAAAAGATAAACATATCTGACTACACAAAATAAAAACATCTAGTATGAAGAAAGATACCCTATTAAATCAAAAGAAAAATGACAGAATGGGAAAATATATTTGCAACACATGTGACAGAAAGCACGTTAATATCCTACTTCGAACTCCCACAAATTCATAGTGCAAAGACAAACCCAGTAAAAAAAAACGGGCAAAGGATATGAATTCCGGTTGACACAAGAGAAAATCCAAAGAGCTGGTGAATATATGGAAAGATGCTCCACCTTACAGAAAACAGGCCAATGCAAATTAAGGGAACACAGAGAAGCCACTTCCCATCCCCCAGACTGGCAAACATAAAAAATCCTCTGACCCAGCAATCCCACCTCTGGAATTTTATACCCTAGATAAGCAAGTACCAATTTATGAAGGTCTTTGTACAAAATGTTGTGACAGCCTTATTTTTACAGGACTGGGGGTGGGGGGTGAGGGGAAGAGAAATAAAACCACTAGAAATAACCCGAATCCCAATCAATCAGGGAATGGTGGCTGAGTAAACTGCGATAGCTTCATCCATACTATGGAATTATGTGCTGTATCTCTTGGCCTGGTGTGATTTCCACAATATATGGCTAAATGAGAAACGAACATTGCAGAGAAATTATATAGTTTTGTAAAATAAATATTAACCTGTCTCCCCCAAATGTAAATTCTATACATTGTACTATATTCATATATGTGTGCATACATAACTAAGCTATTAACATTGGTTACCTCAGCAAGATTAGAATGGGGGAAAAAGAGTGTAAGTATAAAAAGGAAAAGGAAAAAAACAGTGTAATGTTAATTGAAAATGTTAAATATACTTATGCTATTACTATATGTGCCGTGCCAGCACAGCCAAGGGTTCGGTGAACCTGAGGAGGGGCGGTGAAGGATTAAAGAAAAGACAGACAAGAGAATATAGCTGGGGCTTGGCTGATATCCCATGCCTGGATGAGAACACAGAAAAATCCCAGCCAGCAAGCTGAGGCTTTATTTTATAGTCAGAGAAAAACAAGGTAGTGGTTAATATATTTACAATGTTCTTGTGAGTTTCACTTGTTTTGGCAGCACTTGCTGCATCTCCCACAGCCCATTAGCTACCTACAAGGAACTAGGGAGGGCTGTGAGGTTAAGCTTAATTACACTAACAGGGCTCTGCCCTCCAAGCTGGGACTTGTTTGTGGCCCTGCCACAGGTCAGTCCAAGGCTTAACCCTATAGCCGCTCCCTGCACTATAAATACATTAAAATTGAATATGTACCTGAACAAGGACTAGCAAGTGTCAGAAACCAACACAAATATTAATGTCACTCCAGAATGAAGCAGGGGCAATTTTATGTTGGATTTTTATTAATTTAATAGATTAGTGATTATAGATTATGAATAATCTATAAATTACAGATTGATATTTATTATAACTAATATAGCTTTTTTTTTAAAGGGCAATGAAGCAATAATTGAATTTGACCCCTCATTTTACAATTGAGAAGGCTTAGGCCTAGAGTTGGGGAAGTGATTATCTAGACATTCCCTGACCAAAGTTCAATCTTCCAGTCAACCCTACCATTCCCACCCAGCCCAGACATTCAGGGGCAAATCAGAGCCTTTAGAGAATTGTCTTGTGATAACCCCTGAGGGCCACCTGGCATGAGAAAAGGGGGAAGGAGGAAGGAAGAGACAGGGCAGATGGGCTCAGAGGCCAAACAATGGAGGGGTAGACCCAGGTGTGTAGCTAATGCAGAGAACCTACCTCTTCACCCCAGTTCCTACCACTAAGTGCACCTCTGCCCCAGAACAGGTTCAGAAATCTGGCAAAAGCCTGTGAGACCTAGGCAGAGAGGCACAGTTTGTTCACCACCCGCCACACTCTCATTTCAGGAAAGAGAGCGCATGCAGACACCGTCACAAGCTGTTTGATCTTGACCATTTCTGAGAAGCATCCTCCCAGGCTGGGAGCTGCTCCTCAGACCAGGCACTGAGGCAGGCTCCAGATGGTTTTTCCAGGTCCCCAAACTCAGCTGTGTTGGACCATGCAATGGGTGACATAAGCCTGGGTGTCCCCAAGTCTGTCCACACCTCAGGCTTGGGAGGGCGGTGCTATTGGCGTTATACTCTCTTTTGCGGTTCATGCTAATGGGGCCCCTCAGGACAGTCCAGCTGAGAGGAGAAGCTTGCCTTCATCCCTCCTCCAGTTTCTCCTCTATCCACCTCCTATCCCATGAGCCTCCTAATCCTGGACGTGGAACCTCCCTTTTTGCCTTCACTTGGGGTTTCATTCATGATGAATTATAAGTCCTATTCTGCCCACCTCTGACCAGTCTGGCCACCTCTCCTGCCCAAGGTCATGGTCAAGTGCCCTGACCTAGCCAAGTCTTAGCTTAAGTTGGCTGAATACTGCTTTAAGCCTCCCAGACTCTCCTTCCCTCCATCCTAAAGAAGAAACTTAACAAAGCGACCCAAAGAATTAATTGCCATTAAAAACAAAAATTGGAGTCCTGACCAGTGTGGCTCAGTTGGTTGGAATATCATCCTGTGTACCCAAAGGTTGAGGGTTAAATTACCAGTCAGGGCACATACCTAGCTTGGAGGTTCCATCCCCAGTCAAGGCGAGTACAGGAGGCAACATTGACGTTTCTAACTGAGAAAAACATCAGACCAAACCAAATTAAGGACACTGTACAAAATATCTGACCAATACTCCTCAAAACTGTCAAGTTAATGAAAACCATAAAGAGCTACAAACTGTCACAGACCAGAGAAAAGTAAGGAGACATGACAATTGTCATGTGGTACCCTGGATGCAATCCTGGAACAAGAAAAGGATATTAGTGACAAAATTAATAAGAACAAAGTCTAGAGTTTTGTAGATAGATAAATAGATGATAAAGGTGGGGCAGCAAAATGCTAATAATTGTATATTTTTTCTGTATTTTTATGGATTTCAAAGAGGAAGGGAGAGGGAGAGAGAGATAGAAACATCAATGATGAGAGAATATCATTGTTTGTCTGGGCACGCCGTCCCCATTGCGAATCAAGCCCACAACCCGGGCATGTGCCCTGACCTGGAATCAAACCGAGACCTTCTGGTTCATAGGTCAATGCTCAACCACTGAGCCACACTGGCAGGACTAATAATTGTATTTTACCACTTTATAATGTTTACTATATGGCACATATAATTCTAAGCACTTTCCATGTAATGAGTTAATTCTCACAAAACATCCAACAAAACATTCTCATCACTATGCAGATGAGGAAAGTGAGGCATAGTGAGTTTGTGAACTGCTGATGAAATATTATACATTCAATATATGCTTCATTTCTTATGGCAACTCTTAGGGTATGTTTTATAGTCTCCTCCCCCCCCCCCTTTTTTTTTTTTTTACAATTGAGAAAACCAAGACTCAGAGGAGGTAAGTGACTTGCCCAAGGTCACACAACTGGTTAGTAGGAGAGCCTAAACCCCAGTCAGGCTTTGGAATCATATAACCCTCAGCTCACCCCTGAGTATGAGACTGGGAAGGGCTTTCTCAGAGCCCCCATGTCCCACTGTTCTGGAAGCATCATCGACATTGTAGTCTGTGGGGTTCACAGCCTAAGGCTGTGGCCCTTGGGAATTCTGGAGCTGGAGGGGAGCCAAGGATTTAGGCAATGGAAGAGCCCCTCTGAAGAAGGAACACGACCCATTCTGAGTTCT